CCTCCCTTGTGGATGACGGCTGGGTGGTCTCCAGGTTGGGGCAGTCACAAACAAGCTGCTCTGGACATTGTGCACAGTGTTTTCTTGTGGTACTAAGGATTGAACCCAGGGCCTTCACACTAAGCTACATCTTAGCCTTTATTAATTTTTAAAAAAAATTTTGACACAAGATCTCCCTAAATGTCTTCAATTGCCTAGGCTGGCTTGAATTTATGATCCTCTTTTTTTGGGGGGGGGTACCGGGGATCAAACTCGGGTCCTTGAGCTTGCACAGCAGGCAGCGAAACCACTGAGCTGAATCCCCGGCCCTATGATCCTCTTTTTTAAAAATTAATTTTGTTGGTACATTTTAGGTATTCAATATAATGACATTCCTCATTGGAAATGTGCACCTTTACATAGTCTCTCTTGGTTCTTATTTTTCCCCCTTACCCTGCCCTCCCTTCAACCCCTCCATCTCTCCCTGTTTACAAAGACTGTTTCCAGTTTTCCATTTTCTCATATGAATTCCATTCCCTTCTTTCCTTTCCCCCACCCCAAATTTATGACCGTCTTGCCCCAGCCTCCCAGAGTGGTGGGATTGCAGGTGTGTGCCACCAGGACCGCTCCTTTGCCTCCATTGGTTCAGGACCTGGGACTGGAATGGTGGAGTTGTGTGAGCTTAACGTTTTAAGAATCCACAAGACTATTTTCCAAAACAGCTACACGGCTTCACCTGTCCCACCAACAACATGTGGAGGTCCCTTAGCCGCACACCCCCGTGGGACTGACTCTCACACACCGACCTTTGTCTCGCACCTTGCGAAGAGCACTCCTGTGTTCTTGTGGCCTTCTTGATTCCACAGATTTTTCTGTGTAGATGACCTTGTCCTTACAAATCAGGGCCATCTTGCTTCTCCCTCCCCAGGCTGGACCTCTTCATTTCTGTTTCTTGACTTACTGTCCTGTCCATAGCGTGGGACCAAGCGGAGGCTGTGAAGGGCACTGTCCAGTTCTGGGTGCCAGGCAGCGTCCTTGTCTTTTACAGCTACGTGTGGCGCTGGCTGTACTTTTTCCCTTTTATATTTTTTTGGTTGGTATCTTTGCCAGGCAAAGCAGAGGCAGCTCTTTCCTGCTCCTGGTTCATTGGGGTCGGTTTTCAAAACTGAGAGTGGGTTGGGTGCCACCAGACAAGATCTCCGACACATTCGTGCGGGAAGCCACCTGGTCCCAGGAACACCCCTCTGGGCCCAATGAGATGTCCTTTTTTATACTGCTGGGCTTGATTAGTTAAAATGAAAAACATTTGCATCTACACTCAGGACTGTATTGGGCTGGAGGTTTCTTTTCTTGGGATTCGGTTTCCTCGTAGCTGGGAGAAGCCCTTCTGTTACTCTGTAGTAGTTGGAGAATTGGCGTTATTTCCTCCCTGCAGCTTTGGTAGAACTTCAGTGAAGCCAGCTGGGCCTGGTGCTTTTTGGTGGGGAGCTTTTTTAACCAGAAACCTAAATTATTTAATAGACATTGCTAATCAGATTATCTAGTTTTTGAGTGAGCGTTGGTATTTTCTGTCTTCCTAAGAATTTGTTCATTTCTTCTAAGTTGACAAATTCATCTGGATAAAATAGTTCATTATTTTCCCCTTTTTTTGAATGTATGAAAAACCATGACAGTGTCCTCTTTCTCAAACCTACTATGTAGTTCAGGCTGCCCTCAAACTCAAGGTGATCCTCCTGCCTCGGCCTCTCAAGTGCTGAGATTACAGGCATGCATCATGCCCAGCGCATCCCATAGTTTTTGGTATGTTGTCCTTTCATTTCCATTCGGTTCAAAATAAGTGTTCTGCAGTGCTAGGGATCAAACCCAGAGCCTCATGCAGACTTGGCAAGGCTCTACCAGAGCTACAGTGATAGCCCTTTGTTTTCAATGTTTATTTGGAGACAGGGTCTGGCTAAGTTGCCAGGCTGGCCTCAGACTTTTGACTCTTCCTGCCTTGGCTGCCCAAGTACAGTGGCTGGGCTTACAAGCCTGTGCCACCACAGTTTGTTGCTGGATTTCTGATACAATTCCATTGGACTCAGAGAACATGCTTTGAATGACTTTTTTTTTAATACATTGAGACTTTTGCCCAGAAAACGATGAGTTGTCCTGAAGTATTTATTAGGCCAACTGAGTTGACAGCGTCGTTCAAGCCTCTTGTGTTCCGGTGACTGATCACCTGCACAGACAGGGCGGCCGCAGTCTCTGTGTACCCAGGTCGCATCTGCTCTGTGCAGGCTGCAGGGTCTTACCTGTGGTCAGGTGCGTACACTTTCAGGGTTTCTATGTCCTTTTAACAGCTTCACCAGCTCATCACTACGAAATGATCCTGTGGTCTCCAGTAATATTCTTTGCCCTGCTATCTACTTCGACTGGTCTGGGTTTCTTCAGACTAGGAATGGCATGATGATCTGCTCCCACCTTTCTGCTTTTAACGTATTTGTGTCTTGATATGAGAAGGCAGCACAGAATTGGGTCTTTTCAGCCAATCTGACAATCTGTGCCTTTACCCTGAGCATTCATCATATTTACATGTGACGACTCTGGTTGCTCTGTCCTTTACTTGTCTCATTTGTTTTCCCCCCTTCTTTTTCTGCCTTCTTTTAGGTTAATTAAAAAAAATCTGCTTGATTTCTTCATTGTTCCATTCTCTGAAGATTTTTTTGTTATTTTAATGGCTGCTTTAAGGATTTATACTCAACTTCTTTTAAAGATGAAGTCTTGCTATTGTCCAGGCAGGCCTTGAACTCTCCGGCAAAACTGATCCTCCTGCCTCAGCCTCAAGTAGCTGGGACTCCAGCTATGTCCCACAGCACTGCTTCATACTAAGTATCTTCAACTCATCACGTCTAAGGTCTAAGTTCAGGTGGCATCCTATCAGCTCACATATCTTGATAGCTTCCGACACTGTTTTCCCTCCTAGCCTGTGTTCCAGCAGACATTTTAAATTTTCATGATAAAAACCCCTCAATGTATTGTTGCTATTTTGGCTTAGGGAGATTTAAACAATAAGGGGACACTTTCTGTTCCTCATGCTGTCAGTTTCCAGTGCTCTTCAAGTCTTTGAGTGGATTCAGTTCCTCTGTGGTCCTGTGCCCACCATCCATTTACCTGAACAATGTCCTTTAACATTTTGTTTTAGCGCAGATACATGGTGATGAACTCTTTGGTTTTTCGAATCTGAAAGACCCCCCTGCTTGGCCTTTGTTTTTAGAAGGCATTTTTGCTGGTGCCAGATACCAGCTTGGTGGGCCTTCTTGCAGCCCACCCCCAGCCCACAGAGCAGCCTCATCTTTGCCGCTCTGCACACAGGACTGCCTTCTGCGCGCTCCTGTGGAACTGTTCTTCAGAGCTGGTTTTCAGCATGCTGATGTTGAAGGTGCTCCTGTCGGTTTCTTCCTATTTCTTGTGCTTAGATTTTGTTGTTTTCTGGCAGCTGTACTTTCATTATCTCTGGAGAAAGCTGGCCATTTTTTCTTAGAGTAGTTTTTCTTCCCCACCTCACCCTCCTTTCCCGTGTGGATTCCAATTTCCCTGGCATTTCGTGGCCTGCCGTGGTGGCACAGCCTGTTTCTGCTTCATTTTGGACAGATCTGTCTCAGTCCAGTTCAGCAATCCTTGCTTTTGCAATTTTTCATTGATCCCACTCCGACTTCTCATCTCAGGCACTCCGTTTTCACCTCCAGAAGTCGGGCTATGGCTTTAGGCTTTCCCATATCTCTGCAGCAGCAGCATCCTGGACGTGGACACAGTGACGGACAACATGTGATGTCCCCACTGGCTAGCTCTGCGCCTGTCTCTGCCAGATCACTCTGGACTGAGCGCCCCCCCAGCATGAGCTGTAATTTTGTGCTGCTTCTCACACCTGCTGGTTTGAATGGAGAGGCAGTTTATGCTGGGTATTTCCTGCATTCCTGGAAACACTCCGGCATGTGTCTTGAGTTACCTGGCAGCTCTGACGCTTCCTTAGGAAGGACCAGCACTGCTTGATCTAGGGTGACCCCTAACACCTCCTACTCTGCACTCTGAATCTCGAGGCTTCCTGCTCCAGCTGTGGACAGCACCTGCCTGCTCCCAGGTGGCTGTAGTCCTTTGGAGGTGCCTGTATCCTGCGTGGTGTTTTCGTCTGGCCTGCTCTGTCCTCACTGAAGCCTTGGGATGCTCCTCTGTGCCATCTGGGGCTCTCTGCGTGCTCTTCTGGGACCCCTCCACCTGTGTCCTACCTGGCCCCCACACCTGGGTGGTGAGCTGGAGTCTTGGGATCACCATCCTTGTGCCAACATCCTGTCTGGAGGATTTTCACACGTATTTGTCACTGGTGTTTTGTTTGTTTGCTTTTGTGGCTGTTTCAGAATGTGAATCTGGTTCCTGCTCCTCGTTTCGCTGCCAAGCTCTTTGGGATCCCTGCACCTGCAAGAGGCCACCTCCAAGGTCTGCTGCCATTTGTGGCCTGGGGACCAAGGGGTATGGGCTAGCGCAGAGGGGGCCTGGAGGCCCTGCGGGGACAAAGGTTGCAGGAAGAGCAAGTCCCCTGAGGCTTATCTGCACGCAGCGCAGGCGACCCGCGTCAACCCTGTGGCTAGGACTAGGCCACGGGGCAGAATGCAGGCCGGATATGTGGCTCGGAATGCCGCCCTGGCTTCACCTGTAAAAGGGTAAGGCTCCTGCCACCGCCGAGGTCCGCGCTCTGGGCTGCCTCCGAGGGGCGGTGGGGCCGCGGGGGGTGGGGTGGGGGAGTTGCACACGGCTTCCGGCTTAGCGACACCACGGCCCAGGCCGGACGTGGCGGGGTGGGGCAGACTGGGCAGCTCGGGAGCCGCCGCCAGGGGGCAGCCGTGCGCTGCGCCCGGGGTGGGGGGAGGGGGCGCGGGCGGGGCGGGGCCGCCTCTCGCAGCTAGCGGGGGGGGGGGGCGGCACCTGCCTGGGACCACTCTCCGCCCCGTGCCCACCTCCCTCTTCCGACTCGCCCAGCTCGAGTCATCCCCGGCGCACCTGCCCTGGGCACCGCACACCTGGCCAGCGCTTCACGCCCGGGCGGCGTCGCCTCGCTGAAGTCGGGGCCCCACGTCGGTGACCCCTGGTGGCCACGTCCCCAGGGGCCCCGAAGCCCCCTGTGTGGTGCTCCGTGCGGGCAGGTGACTGGGCCGCCCGGGTCGGGTCTCGAGGCTGCCTGGAGGAGGGGGCGGCCGTTCCCGTCCGGCCGCGGCCCGGGTCACAGACTCGGCTGTCGCGGTTCAGCGGAGGGAGCTGCGGCCCGGGCGACGCGATCCTGAGGCGGGACACGAGGGGCCAGTGGGGCACTGCGGACGGCCACGTCGGGGACGTCACCTGCCCTTCAGGGTCCCAGGACAGGAAGATGCCTGCCCGCCCGCGCTGGGGACCAAGGGGGCGTCCTGTCTTACTGTGGGTCGTGTTCTTGCGGTCACAGCCACCGCCGGGAGCCGCAGGAAAGCGCCAGGTGAGGGCACAGGTCAGCGGGGAGCCGCTCCGGGCTCCTCGGGCGCCAGGAGGTGGCCAGGGCTGGGGTTTGGTGTACGCCGCGGCGACCCTGCAGTCAACAGTCCGGGCCTGCGAGACCGTGCGGGGCGCTCCGAGGCGGGGCGCAGGGGCGGGGCACCCCGGGGAGCGGTCAGCCCGCCAGCCGCAGCACGGCGAGGGTTAAGCCGCGGGCCCGGTTGGCGCACGCGCCGATTGGAGCAAAGTTGCGGGTGGGGCGGGGCTGAGGGCGGGCCGGCTCACGGCGATTGGTCAGAAGTTGTGCGGGGCGGGGCGCGCGGCGGGCTCGGCACTCGCTCCGGGAGAGTTGACAAAGCCCCGCAGGGAAGGACGCCTCGCGGCGCGGCGCCCCGGGCCCTCGCCCCCGCCCCCGTCCGCCCGCCGCCTGTCTCGGCCCTCCCTCTCCCCCCCACCGGCGCCCCGCCCCGTCGCCCGCGCCCAGGTAGCGCCTCCCCGCCCCTGGACGGGCCGGGGGCGCAGGGGGCGGGATGCGGCGCCCCGGGCGGCGATGACCGCGACGCGCTGCCCGCGGGCCCGGCCCTGACCGTTGCCCACCAAGGTGAGCCCCGCAGCGCCCGGGACCTCTAGGGGCGGGCGGGCGCCGCGACCCTGGGGCGGGGGCGGAGGCCGGGCTCAGATCACCGCGGGGGCCGCTCCGCCCCGCCCGCCGCCCCACGTGGGCCCCGGCGCAAATTTGTCCGCTAATGGCGCAGGCGATTATCTGCGCGCCGCGCGGTGTGTCCCGCGGGCAGGGCCGGAACCCAGACGGGCTGGGGCGCGGGGCTCGGTAATTAGCCTGAACTCTTTGTCTGCCTTTGATCGCCAGCCGCTCCTGCCCGCAGCGCGGCGCCCGGGGCCTCGGGCCCGGGGCCCCGGACCGGACCCCGACCTCCGCCTCGGCCTCGAGATGTCGCCGAGCCCCGCGCTGGTGCTGCTGCTGCCGCCGCTGCTGCTGGGGGCGCTCCCACCGGCCGCCGCCGCGAGAGGTGAGTGTTGGCGCCGCCCCTTCCCGCCCGCCCTGACCCCTGCCACAGTGTTCGCGCTGCTGCCTCGCCAGCCCTCTCTCCGGGGTTCTCCAGCCCACCCCCTGCTCGCCCGTGTAGTGGTCTCGCCTCACCTGGAATGTACCCCAGCACATTCCTCCTGACGCCCCTAGCTCACCCGCGGGGCACTTCCAGCTCGCTCCCGAGTCAGGCTCAGCTCACCCCGGGGGAGTCCCAGCTCATCCCCAGGGAACCCCCAGCTGACTCTCCTCACCTGTAGGGAGGGTCAGAGTCCATTGGCTCGCTGGCCAGTGGGCTCAGGACACACCTGTGGCCGTGCACACACATTTTCACATATGTACCTGTGTGGAGGGCAAACTCTGTGGGTTTGGGGGCACTGGGCTGTTTGTGGTCACAGTGGACCCAGGTGGGTCCTTGGGAACTTACCAGGACCCTATGTGGCCTCCCTGGGGGATGGGAGACACTGATTATGGCTTTGCCTGAGCCTCACCTTGACTCAGGCCTGGGCCCTGGGGTGCCCATCTAGGCTAGGGATCCCCAAGCATGCAGGCCATTGCACCATGAGGCTGATCTCTGGGCTGATATCTGAGGACCTGGAGTATCAGGGCCATGGTGTGGCCCTCTAAGGGGGTGGCCTTGCCCTGGGACACAGCCCGGTGAGGGGCATCCGTGGCCAGTGGGTGGTACGTGCTGGCAGACACCTGCCCACCATGTTCCAGGGCCAGGCAGGCCCAGTGCTGGCTGCCCAGGGTTAGGCGGGTCCTGGGGTGTGTTGACCACTCAGGATCGCCCTCTGTGTCCACTGGTCCTTCCCCGCTGCCCAGCAGCGCACTGAGCCCAACCTGGCCTTATATGGCCACGTTCGGGTGTTGGGCGGCGGGTGGCAGCCCAGGTGGGACCTATGCCACCGTACCCCCCCTCTGCCACCCGCCCAGGCCTGGCTGGCTGGAGGGTGGGGGCTGTCCAGTGCAGCCAGGCTGGGCAGTGTCCTGGGCACTGTGGTGCTTGGGCCATGCTGGGTGAGCCCCACCACAGCCAGCGGCCTGGCTTTGATTCCTCTTTTATCTGCTTGGACTCCCCCATCCCTGCACCTGCCTGTTCTCTGGCCACAGAGGCTGTGGAGGCCTCTGTCCTGCCATGGGCCCTGGCCAGCCTAGAGGTGACTGGTGGACAGCATGGTGGGCACGGCCTGCTCTTCGCTGACAGGCCCTGGAGGAGCTGCCCCTGCCCTGTCCACCTGGGCTCTGTGCTGGGGGCCAGAGAGAGCCCTTTCCACAGCAGAGGCCCTGTGGTTTGCAGTGGAGGTACAGGAATGCGTTTCCTGAGTTGTGCTGACTGGAGGGGCAGGGCTGTTCCAAGTGGTTCATGCTCCTCCGGTGAGCAGGCCCTCCATGGGCCGAGAGCCGAACGTGGTTTGGGCTGTTTTGAAAGACATTTCCCCGGGTTGTCACCGTTTCTGGGACGGGCACCGCTGTAAATCCAGATCATATTTTAAGAGTTCCCTTTTGCCCTACGTTTCACAATCTTGGTGGGTTTGTCCTAGACTGTTTTCAAAAGATAGGACTTGGCTTCCTCTGCTCCCTGCTGTTGCTCGCAGTGGTGACTCAAACAGCTCCCAGTGAGACACCTTTCTCAGCAGACAGCTTTGGAGCGGCTGGCCAGGTTCTCTGAATAGTGCGCTGCTGGGCCTTGCAGGGACTGGTTGTCAGCCTGTCCCCCAGTCCCTCTCCTGACCTCTGGACCAGCACCCGGCTCAGTGCTGAGCCACAGATGTGCCCTGGGCGCCTGGTTGTGGGTGCTGCCATGCCGTGGGGGTGCTGGTGGGTTGCTGTGTGGTGCTCACCCTGGCCTCCTGTCTACATCCCTCCTGGGCAGTGGCTGGCCAGCGTGTGCCTGGGGTGTGTTCATGCGGGAGCCAGGCCCAGGCATTTTGAGGTGGGGATGCGGGCCAGCCTCCCTCTTCACGTCTGGGGGCCCCCTCCTGCAAGGAAAATAAATCACGGTCCCCTTGGGGGAGGGGGAGCTGCGAACAAAGTCGTCTTTGGCTGGGCCTGGAAACGCCGGCCGCAGGCTCCTTTATCCTTTGTGAAGGAATCAATGGGGCTTCGGGCTCTCAAAGTTGCCTTTCAGCCCGCCTGCCCTGCGTCGTGGCCCTCGATAGGGAAATGTTGGTTTTTCCCCCTTGGAGGCCTCCAGCCTCAGGCCTGCCCGGCCCTGGCGTGGGCTTTGCTGACAGTGGTGGGGGCTGTGAGCTGTGGCACCCCACTGCTGGCCACCTGCCTGCGTGCAGCCGGGCCTGGTGCTTGGCCCATGCTGGCCGTCTCTGCTGCGTTCTGTGCTGCAGGCGGGCCTGCCTTGCCCAGGGGACAGCCACGTGGGCGGAGGGAAAGGTGTCCTCCGTCCGCAGACCTCATCGACACCCTCCCTGCTTCCACCCGCTCTTCCTGGTGAGGTGACCGCTGCTCTGGTCAGGCCTCAGGCTGCAGTTCCAGGGTCCACGGTCAGGGTGGTGGGTGGGGGCCGGGCCGGGCAGGCCCAGCAGCCGTGGTCTCCCAACGGCAACAGGTAGCCGAGGCCCAGAGTCCGCCCCCTGGGAGCTGTTGACATCAAAGGGCTTCCATATGGCAGGAAGCACAGCTCTGTCCTCATCCCGCCTAGAGAGTTTATCTCTTGGGACCTTTAAACGAGGTGTCCAGGGCCTCGGAGTGAGTGACAGGCCTCCAGGAGAGGACAGGGAGGAAGCTGTGTGGCCCGGGTCCTCGGGAATGTGGGCTCCTTGTGCGGGGTCCCCTCTGTTCCCCTCAGCCCAGCTGTGGGCCCCGGCTGCAGTGTGTGCACAACGGACCCTGAGGGCTGGGCAGCTGCACCTGCAGCCTCGGGCCCCAGGCCTGTCCTCGAGAGGGGCCCTCCGACCTGGCTGTGCACTGTGCCGGGCAGGGGCTTCGCCTTCCAGTGGCCTTGCGATGGGCTTGCCCTCCAGGAGGCTCGGTGGTGTGTAAGTGCCCTCTCCCCAGGCGGTGGCCCTGTCTGGTGACGTTGGTGCCAGCTGTGTGTGGCCTGGCTGTGTCGAGAAAGAGGCTGTGGGAGCTAGTGGTCCAGAGAAGGGTGGTATGACGGCCCCGGGGAGGGCACAGGCTGGGGAGCTGGATGTGTCCCCAGGAGTCCCACCTGGGCCCTCACCTGGTGGCTGCTCTTGGGGGCAGTGCCTGGATGCTCAGCCAGCTTTCGGGGTGAGCTACCCCTCGGTTTCTGTGGCGGCCACCTGTCCCTCAGTCTTCCTGGCTCCATGATGGGTCCCAAGGGTCTTGTGTGTCCTGGGCCTGTGAAGGGCGTGTGCCCCTGACACCTGGGGTCCTCTGTACTCTTCTCCCAGGGACACCCCTGCCCTTCTTCCCCAGGTTGTGGCTTGCTGGGGAGGTGGGCCCTAGGGCCCCATCTCTGGAGCTGCAGCTGCAGTGGCCTGGGTGTAGTTTGGGGGCCTGTACCTCCTGCCTGTGGCTAGGGCTCGTGTGTTCCCTTGGGAGAGGACTCAGCACGTGGCCGGCTGGTCACCCTGTCTCCACTGGGCAGTGCCTTGGAACCCTCTGGGCCAGCTCTCCCTGGCCTCCCCAAGGCAGGCACAGGACCTGGTCACACCTGCCTCCTCACCATGGCCCTCCGAGTCCCCAGCCCCTGGCCTCTCCAGGAGGCGCTGCAGGCCGGTGGCTTCTGGCTGGCTGCCCCCACCCACTGCCAGGCCTACCACCTGGCCAGAGAATTCCTCCCAGGTCAGAAATTCCAGGGCCCTGCAGTCCTCGTGCGTACTGAATTGGGCTGGGCAGGCTGGGTGCTTAGTGCACAGTCCCACTCCCACCGTGTCTGGCTCGGGACCCCTGTCTGCCCGCACCTGGTCTGGTCATCGGGGACAGGGTGGCCTGTCCCTTCCCGTGTGCCTTCTGCCGGAGCCCCTGTCCCTTGCCCCCGTGAGTTCTGTAGAGGCGGGGACACGGCTGGCCTGTCCCGGTGGCCCTGGAGACCAGTGCTGGCTGGGCCCAGCTCCTACAGCTCAGGTCTTGAGCCTGCAGGGCAGCTCCGGAAAGTGGGATTAAGGCTCCTGCATGCTTCCTGGGGCCTGGGCTCGAGGTGTGGGCCTTCAGGTGGGCTCTGCTCCGTCTGCATCCCCCACCCCTGCACCGGAGCCAGGTCCTACAGGGGGCCCTGTGGGAAAGGGGGAGGGAAAGAGCCCCCAGGTGCTGTCCCCGAGGCTGCATCAGAGGAGTGAGAACACATCCTAGCCTTGGTTTACCTCATGTCTGCTGCCCACCTGGCAGCCATCTACATCCTGCCTGTGCTGGGCCTTCTCAGGGGCTTGCTAGGGAAGGGCAACTGGCAGTATTGCCTGAGGGAGCTCCAGGCGGGGCTGCCACTTCCCTGCCAAGCTTCCCTCCAAGGACAGTGGGGCTGTTGGTGTCCGTGGGCCTCGGATGCTGCCTCAGTTTCCTCGCTGGCCAAGTGGGCCCTGTGGCTCTAGGTAGAACAATTGGGGCTTGTGTTTCCTGGGCTAAATATAGAGCTGTGGTAGCCGGGCTGCAGCCAAGATCCCAGGAATCGGGGGCCAGCTTCCTGCCAGGCGGGTCCTCCTGCAGGGCTCTGCAAGGGCTGGGGTACGAGAGGAGGGCTGGCGGGGTGCTGCTAGCTTTAGGGTAAGCCCGGCTCTGGACGGGATCCCGCCGGCCTTTCTCCTGCACCGTGCAGGCTGGGGCCACGCTTCCGGCCATCTGGCAGCCCAGGCTCTGCCTCTTCGTGTGGCCACAGGCAGGGGTCCCTGCTGCTCTGTCTGCTCCCGTCCTGGGCTCTGCCCCTGCCCAGGCTGAGATGGGGTCTGAGCCAGCCCGGCCCTTGGCTGTTCTGGGCCAGCCCACGCTGGGTAGGGGTGTGCGTTGAGTGTGGGGTCTGCCCAGGGGGCCTGGGGAACCAGGCTGGTGGGGAGCCTTGGGGCTGTGGGGGCCAGGGCAGGGCTGGTCCCTCCCTGGTGCTGCAGCCTGGGAGGCCTTGTGAGTGGTGGAATTTCAGACAGTGACAGGTGGTGGGCAGGGTCTGCCTGGGTTGGGGCCGGGACCTTGGAGGGTTGGGGAGGGGTCTGGGGCTCTGTGTCTGTACCAGGTGGGTGCTGGGGGCCGGGGGCAACTGTGCATGCACTGCCCTGCTGCCGGTGCCTGGGTGGACCATGGGACGGTAGGGGTGAGGGAAGGGGCTGTTATGGGAACCTCGGCCTGGCCCCCATGGTACGGAGGTGCTGGTGAGTAGACGACGAGATGTTGGTCAGAAAGAGTCCCTGGGAAGCCGGTGAGGGGTGGAGGAGCCCCTCTCCCAGCCCCCCCGCCCCACCCCTTGATGCCACCGAAGGAGGGGACCCTGGGTTCCTCAGCAGCACTGCCACGATGCCTCCTCCCTGGGCCAGCAGCTCCGGCGTCGCCAGTCAGATTGGGTGCTCTGAGGTCAGGAGGAAGCTGCTGCTGAGTTTTGGGGTGCCGCCGGCTGTGCCTTGTCCCTGCCCAGTCCACCCTTCCTCCCCAGGTCACCTGCCCAGGGCCCACGCACTGCCTGATATCTTGGTTTCCTCTGTCCCTGTGTCCTCCCACGGGCACCTCAGCTGGGGCCAGCAGCTGGGAGGAGCCAGGCGTCTCTCTGCGGGGTGAAGGTCGCCCCGGCCTTGGCTCTGCCCCAGGCCTCCTGGAGTGGGCAGGCCAGGACCACCCCTCCATGCCAGCCCTGCCCTGTCCAGACACTGCCTTTGACCTCAGGGCTGTGGGCTGCCTGGAGGGCTGGCCGCCCTGGGCAGGTGGTGTCTGAGCTCAGACTCAGGCAGCGTAGGGCGCCTCACCGCCCCCAGGCTGGCCCCGGGAGGCTGTCCTGCACTTGGGTCCTCTGTGTACGATGGCTGTGAGGCTGCTATCCTCACAGCCAGGCCTGGCTGGGTCCTGGGGGTCAGTGGAGGTGGGGGTGAGGGGAGGTGAGTAGACGATGAGATCGTGCACTCCAGCTGGGGACAGGACCTGTGAATATGCACGGCGAGGGAAAGCCAGGAGCCCCTGTTTTCTCCATGCACGCTGCGGAAGGGCCTGTTGGCTCAGGCTGTGAGCCCCCACCTCACTGGGCAGGGGAGGGGCTGGGCACGAGCACCCCAGGCCTCCCTCCCCAGCTGAGCCCTCCAACCCTGCAGGTCCCCCAAGGATGGCAGACAAAGTGGCCCCGAGGCAGGTGGCGCGGCTGGGCCGCACTGTGCGGCTGCAGTGCCCGGTGGAGGGGGACCCGCCACCCCTGACCATGTGGACCAAGGACGGCCGCACCATCCACGGCGGCTGGAGCCGCTTCCGCGTGCTGCCGCAGGGGCTGAAGGTGAAGGCAGTGGAGGCGGAGGATGCGGGCGTGTACGTGTGCAAGGCCACCAACGGCTTCGGCAGTCTCAGTGTCAACTACACCCTTATCGTGATGGGTCAGTGAGGTGTGGTCAGCTTGCGCGGGGTGGGGTGGGGGCCTGGCCTGGGCCTGCTGGTGGGCAGCCCATTCCCAGGCAGGACCAGGCATGGCGGCCGGGTGGTAGTCCCCCCAAGGGCGCAGGCGGCTGTGGGCTTGCCAGGGTGGGCCTTAGTGCCCCACAGCAAGATGCTGAGCTCAGGTTTCGAAGTTCAGAGGGGCCTTAGGAGGCGAGTGGCCTCTGTTCTCTCCTGCCCATAGGCTGTGGCCCTGGGAGGGGACAGGTGGCCCTGGTGACACGCCCCTCCGTGGTGGTACCAGGAGTGCCCGGCCCCGCCTCCCTGGTATGGGGTCCGGGCTGACTGCTCAGCCTCAGGGCCCAGGGCATTGGCCCAGCTCAGTGGAGGGGCACCGTCCGGGTGGGTGGGGACATTCCTGGCCACAGCCTCCCCACCCGGCCTCCCTGGGTTGTGGAATGGGACTGTGGAGCCCCCCGCCCTGGGCCCCGCAGAGGGCGATGACTGGGCGGCATGTGAGCCGTGTCTGCTTCCCGAGCCCTCGGCCCCTTGATGTGGGCTAGGGTTACCGCAGCTGCCAGCCGCCGGCCCTGCCCTCCCCTGCCCCTCAGACCCCCAAGCCCGGGTGGGGGTTGGCCCTGCAGCCTCATCCATGACTGTCGGGGTCACCTGCACTTGGGGATGGGGCTGGCGGGCGGCCCTTGCGCAGCTGTCCCTGGGCCCTGAGCCGCCGGAGTGTCGGTGGCCTTGCTGCACTTCCAGGGTCACCCTAGCCGGGGCCACATGGGCGCCCCTCACCGTGGCTCCCTTTTCACTGCAGATGACGTCGGCCCTGGGGAGCAGAGCCCAGGGCCCAGCAGTTCCTCAGGGGACAAGGCAGACCCAGCTGGCCAGCAGTGGGGTGAGTGGAGGGTGGTGCCCTCCCCTGGGACAGGGTGGCTCCCGGCACCCACACACTCCCGCTGACTCGGCGCGCACCCGCAGCGCGCCCCCGCTTCACGCAGCCGTCCAAGATGCGGCGCCGGGTGATCGCACGGCCCGTGGGCAGCTCTGTGCGGCTTAAGTGTGTGGCCAGTGGGCACCCACGGCCCGACATCACATGGATGAAGGACGACCAAGCCCTGGCACGCCCGGAGGCTGGCGAGCACAGGAAGAAGTGGACCCTGAGCCTGAAGAACCTGCAGCCCGAGGACAGCGGCAGATACACATGCCGTGTATCCAACCAGGCAGGCGCCATCAACGCCACCTACAAAGTGGACGTGATCCGTGAGTGCCGGGCTGGGGGCCGGGGGCCGGGGCCGGGGTGGGCGCTGCCAGTGACGCCTGCGCGCCTCCCGCAGAGCGCACGCGCTCCAAGCCCGTGCTCACGGGCACGCACCCCGTGAACACAACGGTGGACTTCGGGGGCACCACGTCCTTCCAGTGCAAGGTGCGCAGCGACGTGAAGCCTGTGATCCAGTGGCTGAAGCGGGTGGAGTACGGCGCTGAGGGCCGCCACAACGCCACCATCGACGTGGGTGGCCAGAAATTCGTGGTGCTGCCCACGGGTGATGTGTGGTCGCGGCCCGACGGCTCCTACCTCAACAAGCTGCTCATCGCGCGCGCGCGCCAGGACGACGCGGGCATGTACATCTGCCTGGGCGCCAACACCATGGGCTACAGCTTCCGCAGTGCCTTCCTCACTGTGCTGCCAGGTGCGCGTCGGGCCCCTGGGGCCTGGGGCCAGGGCCTGCTGTACCAGCCAGACATGGCGCGTGCCTGCCTGCAGTGGCGCCCCTCACCCCTGCCTCGGTCTCTCTTCCAGACCCCAAACCGCCGGGGCCCCCCGTGCCCCCCGCATCCTCCAGCGCCAGCCTGCCGTGGCCAGTGGTCATTGGCGTCCCGGCTGGCGCCGTCTTCATCCTGGGCTCCGTGCTGCTGTGGCTCTGCCAGGCCAAGAGGAAGCCCTGCGCCCCCGTGTCCACGGCGCCCGGGCCCAGCCACCGCCTGCCAGCCCCGGCCCGGGACCGCGGAGGGGCCAAGGACCTGCCTGTGCTGGCCGTGGGGCTGTGTGAAGAGCATGCGCGGGGCTCGGGCCCGGTGGCCGGCCCCAAGCTGTACCCCAAGCTGTACACAGATGTGCACACACACTCGCACACGCACTCCCACTCCCACATGGAGGGCAAGGTGCACCAGCACCAGCACATCCACTACCAGTGCTAGACAGCGTGGGTGCAGGGACAGGCCAGCGGGCGGACGGGGGAGCAGCAGCCAGCACCCTGTGCGAGACACACACGGATCAGGCCAGGTACACAGACACTGCCAGATGGACACACAGAACACCAGACACGGACTCAACACACACCACACAGACATGTTGCACACGCACGTGGACCGAGATGCCCTTGGAAAGGCTTGGGCTGTTCAGCTTTGCAGCGACATAGTCATGTGAGTAGATGAAGGACCCTGCCCACCTGCTGCCTGTGTCCTGCCCAGCCTCTGCCTGGGGGCCCAGGGTCCCTGGCCAAACGAGGAGAGAGGCGCAGACCCGCCCCTGCCTTCCCACTGCCACAGAGAGGGGCCTTGATATTTATATTTAAGAATGGAGATAATATTAATAATGACGGGAGCAGGGCTGGGCTCCAGAGGCTGGCCTGTCTGAGGCCTAGGCGCGCCTGGGCACAGTCTCACTGGTGTCCTCGTCCTGGCGGCCAGCCCTGCCCCCTGCGCCCTTGGTCTCTGTGACTATAGAGTTTGAGCTAAAGCCTCGTATATTTAATTTATTTTGTTAAACAAGAAAGTGTGCATCTTCTTCCTTGACACGGCTCCCGACTGTCCGGTCCATGTTGCGCCTGCCATGTGCACGCGTGTGTGCGGGTGTGAGTCCCAGGGCCTGAGGCCTGGTGTCCCCAAGAGCACTGGTTCATTGGGAGTGGCTCTGGCGGGCTGACCGGGCCTCCTGTGGCTGTGAGGATTCTGCTGTCTCAGCCCCACCTTGTGTGGTTTTGGCACGGTGGCCTCTGGCAGCTGGGTGGGGCTGGGCCACGGCCACCGCCGTCCATGGGGCTCTACCCAGGTGTCCGCCCGGCCCCCGTGATGGTGGACAGTGGTCCCCACTGTTGGCAGGGGTTGGGTCAGGGTCTCACTGGTGTGCAGGGTCTTCGGCTGGCCCATGGCAGCGGCAACCTGCTGGGCCCCTCAGGAAAGCGGCCTCAGAAGGTGGGAGCTGGGGCATCCACGCAGCTCAGGACTCTGCTCCGGGCACTCGCCCTGGCCCGGGCACCTGTGCAACGTGGCCCTGCCTCTGGGTGATGGGGCCGTTTCCAGCTGGCTGGCTGACCCTGGAGAGTGGCCACAGGCACCACAGGGGCCCAAGCAACCTGCAGCTGGGGGTCACAGGCATGGCCCAGACAGAGCAGGCTGCTGAGGCCCGCTTGGGTTTCAGTGAGGCACGGGGTGGGGAGAGCAGGAACGTGAGGGCTGGAGAGCTTTGGCAGCGGAGCCCCCCAGGCTGTGTGTGGGTACAGGAGTCGAGTTGCTCTCCTGGAGCTTGGAAGGAGCCAGTCGAGACCCTGAGCCTGTGCTCTTGACCCTGAGGCCAGAGCCACCCGCAATGACATGAGGTCCCTTGTCCCTGCCTGGTCTGGGCAGGAGGGTGGCAGAGCCCCGGGCTTGGGTTCTGAGACCAGGCTGGGCCCTTCCGGGGGTCCCGGGAGGTCACTGGGAGCTGGGCCAGCTTTGGAGCAAACCTTGTGCCTGTGTTGGCTGCCAGGCTGGGTAGCAGGACCCGTGGGGCAAAAGACTCATCGGGCCTCCCTGGGCCCTGACCTCCCCTGCAGGGCTTGGACATGCGGGAGGCTGGGTGTGCTGGGGGCCAGGGGCTGGCGCAGAGTCCTAGCAGGACCAGGGGCCGGCAGGAGAGGGCCCCACCCCGCCACCCTCCACATGGACAGGCCGAGTGAGGCCCCAGTGCCCTTGGACCTCCCAGGAAGGTCAGCGAGCAGCCACCAGGCTGCAGGGATGGAGAAGAGCATGCGCCTGCATCCCCAGTGTCCCCGGCGCTGAGGGTCCCAGCAGGGCCGGGAGGTGACCTCAGGGTGACCCCGGTGGCTTCCGATGGCCTCTCAAGAGGGGACACAGTCCTGGGTAAGGATCTTCAGGGGGTGTTTGAGGCCAGGCCTGGTGCCAGTCTGCCCCCCCCCCCCTTCAGCATCCGGCTGTGATAAGCCGCTCACTTGTGAGGGCCGAGAGCTTGAAAGGCCGGCTGGGCTCTGACACCCTCGGGTGTGACAGCGGCCCCGCCTTCTGGCTTCAAAGGGTGTCCTGGGCCGGCCCGCAGCTGTCTCCGAAGGGCGGGAGTGGGAGTGGACAGCAGAGGGGGGACAGGGACAGCCCCACCCGGTCTGCAGGTCAGAGGGCCTGGCTGGAGATCAGTCGTGCCCCGGGCCCAGGACAGACTCGAGGACCCAGGGGCAGGGACACCCGGGGGGGCTTGGCTCCAGGACCCAGGATCCAGTACCGGGCAGGACCTACAGGGGCTGGTTAGACACAGACATCCGAGTGACCCGGGTGACTGCCAGACCCAGGGAGCGGTGCTGGCAGGGGCGGGGGCCAGAGAGTGGGTCCCCTGCCGTGGTGACATCCGAGGGCTCCCTGTCCCTACACTGAGCAGGGATGTGGCGGTGGCCGGACAGGCAGTGAGACACCAGAGCCTACTCCTAGGATTCGGCCCAAGCCACAGCCACAGATGGGTGCTGGCCATGCTCCTTCAGGGTGGCGCTGGGGAGCAGGGGCCAGGCAGAGGGGCCATTGCTGCCCTGCTTGGGTGCCTGCCGCCTGATGCCCCACAGCTGGGGCCGGGGAGGGAGTGTCCTAGCCAGCTCTGTGCCACCTCTGGACTCCCTTGCCGGGGGCACTGCCCAGCAGAGACTCAGGCTCACCAAGGTCCCTGGCCAAGAATGGGACCCCATGTGCCATCAGCGTGGTGGGTGAGGAGCAGGGCTTGGCTGCCCCGCCCCTGCACTGGGTACGCGGCGGGAGGGCTGGAGGGCTGCACAGAGCAAGGTGACACCACCGCTCGCTCTCCTGGGATCTGCAGCCGCCCTGGAAGGGGAGGAGGAGGTGGGGCAGTTGGGGGCATATGGCTCACTGGGGGTCTGGAGCCCCTGCCACTGCCCTCAGGTGAGCTCCAGGACGGCTGCCCCCCTGTGCCCTGCGTGTTGCCCTTGCCCTAGGCGTCAGGAGAGTGCCAGGCCTGGCCCGGGCAGGGGCTCCGGTATGTCCGGGGTCCAGGCAAGCGTGGGAGGGAGAAGGCAGTGAGGCCACAGCGGCCGGACACGAGGAGGCCTGGCAGAGCTGGGGCCCGGTCCTCCCACGGTGGCTCTCTATGACCTTCCGGAAGGCCTCAGACTCCTGGGCCAGACTGGGGTGAGGAGCACTGTACCCCTGGGGACTGCTGACCCCCGTCCCTCCGACCCCATGGGCCCCTCCCCCCATGTCCCCTCAGAGCCACCTCAGGAGCCCTCGCGCTCTGCTCACCAGGACCTCGGAGCAGCAGCTCTGGGGCACAGGCCGGGCTGTACCTCCAGGAACTTGGGCCACCCAGGTGATGAAGGGACAGACATGCCGGGCAGGTGGGACCCCACTGCCACCCGCCACCCTCAGCGTCTCCAGGGAGTCGGTCTCCATGTCTCAAGGCCCCGCACCTGGGTGGGCGGTGACCGTGTCACAGTGGCTCCTGCCACCCCCCGGCATCGCAGGAACATGGGGAGCCCCGTCCGCCTGGCCTGGGCCCACTCCTCTCCTGCTCTGCCTGGCCTGTGCCTGGGCAGCTCCCAGGGTGCTCTCAGAGTCCTCCTGCGTGGCGGGAGCCCAGGCCGGGAGGGCGATGCCAGTGGCACCAGGCTCCACAGAGCTGAACTTCCTTCTCTATGCACAGCTCTTGTGTGTAGTGTTTTTCCAAAAGCATCCTCTGAAGCGCCTTCCCAGAGCCCCTCCAGGACCATGGCACTGGCCCACTCTGCTCCACAAAGCCCCTGAGATGGCGGCAGTGGGAGCTGAAGCCGCAGCCGGTGAGGGCTCGGTCGGGGCCAAGGCTGACGCCTAGCGCTGGGCAACCGGGTGTCCTCAGGCCTGGAGGGGCTGGGCCAGCAGGGCGAGGACTGGTGCGTGGATTCTTGGGCCATGTGCTTCTGACTGTGGAGTCCGTGCCCCCGCTGGCGTCGGTCAGTCCGTCCTGAGAGACGGACACCTGCCGGGGGCTCTAGCCAGGTGAAGGGGTGTTGCTTGCCGTCGGCTCTGCCCCGAGTGGCTCAGACAGCTTGGATACACTGGTTTGCACTAAAGGCTCACAGATGCACCTGTGGTGGTGGGAGTGTGCACGGGCTGTGGCCCTGCTTGGCCCTCTCTGGCTCCCCCGCCTCCCCAAGGCCAACACTGAGTACAGGGGCCCCAGTGCCCAGCCCAGGGAGCCGGAGCACAGGCAGGCAGCAGAGTGGATGGGCGGTGGTGAGGGCGCAGGGTGCACAGAGGCCTGAGCTGCTGGGGCCGGGCGGCACCCACGAGCTGCACACAGAGCCAGGCACTGGGCAAGGAGAGCCAGGCGGCCTAGTCACGGCTCCCAGTTGCAGAGCCGCCTGGGGGGAGCCTGGGGCTGGTGCTGCCGGCTCCAGAGCCTAGGAGGGTCTGCCAGGGGAGCCCTGCGAGGCTGGAAGTACAGCCATCACCCACAGGCCCGGCCCGAGCAGCGGCCAGCCCGGGAGCATCCCAGGCCCGGCTGGAGAGCAGGCCCTGAAAGAGGCACAATCCACCCTTTGTTCCCAAGGCAGCCGGGCCTGCAGGCCAAGAGGAAATGAGAGGAGCACCAGCCAGCAACCCTCGCCCGCCGGGCACCAGCCCAGCAGAGCAGCTCAGAGGTGGGGGGTGGGGGGATCCCACCTCCACCCAAGTCAGCCCTGGCTGGCCTCCAGGGAGCAAGAAATCCTGCGGCAGCCCAGGCCCTTGGCTGGGTGTGCAGATGGCTGTGGAATCCAGGGCAGGGCAGGGCCGGAGGCCAGGGGTGCCCTAGGCAGACAGTCCTGGACACATCTGAGTGGGAGCCCTAGATGAGGTCTCAGGAGCAGCCTGCAAGGCATGGGCTAGGGTGCTGCTCCATGCTTGCCTGGGGCCTCTGAGTCCCTGCACTGGATGGACAGGCGCCCAGCACAGCAGCCCAGGGAGCCCCCACTGACACTGAAGGGTCCCCCACCACCCGCATAGCTCCTGTGCAGGCCAGCAGGGCTGGTCATCCAGCAGCATCTGGGGACGATGGCCCAGCCTACCTCAAAGCCCACCTGGCCCGCTACCAATGAGGGTGTGGACATGAGCTTCTCAGCGTGTGCCTGTGTGCAGCACCCACGTGGAGTATGTGCATGTGTGCCCTTGTGTCTGCTGTAGATACAAGTGCCCTGGCCGGCACACACATGTGTAGTCCCACGTGGGCACAGTGTGTGCAGATGTGCCTGTGTGCATGCAGGTCTGGGCGTGTGCCATGTCCACGCATGCGTGAGTATGGAGTGACTATGGAGGCCCTGCTGTTCCCTCCCCATCCCTTCTTCGTGGGCCTGAGGCAGGAGGACCCATGTTCAGGCTCCGAGTCCCCTAGCATTCTGGTGCTCTCGTGGGTGCCTAGGGTCCACAGCGCACACAGCTGCCCACTGGGGTCCCCTGGGCCAGGGACAGCTGCAGGCTGGATGCTACCTCCTCTTTCTTGTCTCAGGACACTATCAGGGCTGAAAGCTGAGCTCCAGAGCCCCTGGCCTGGCTGGTCTTATCTCCAGACC